AAGCGACGGCCTTTGTTTTCGAAGAATGTTTTAAAAATCGTCCCTACACGTGTCTACAAGTTCTCCTTTTTTTAGTACCTCTAATACATACAGAGTTTTTAGTAATTATCGACCTCGCTGAAAACCGCTCGTCTATACGCTAGTGTGAGAGACTCGAGGAGACTGTTGTCTGAAGTCTTTGAAAGAAAAGCAGATTATTTTATACTCACAACAAAATTAACTTAATTACATCAAGAATAGAAAAAAAAATACATGAAATATTGTGAAAAGACGTTTTCTTGTGGAAACTATCACATTTTTACGTTTCGTTTTTTTCGTGCTGCTTACCTGAGTCACGGAACAAGGACCACATTCGCTGACCAAGGACCATCGACGACGATCGCCTTTTTTCGAATTCCAAGCAAAATATCTATGTCTGGAACTTGAAACTTCGCGATTGTCGAGAGGAACAAAAGCTATCTTCAGAGAGTATTTCAGCTCGTTACGTTTTAATTCAGGTAAGATATTCAAGATATTGACCTTTAGTCGCGGACCAAGGACCACATACTGTACACACCCAGTGATCTCAACAAAATCAGAGAGGAAACCATTAAAAAGTACGATTTGATTGACGGATCAAATCACGCGAAAGTTTAAAAACAGATCTTTGCAGAATATTTAAACATGGCAATTCAGAAGTTTATTACTTCGCAAACAACAGCGTAACGGCTTAATTGGAACCGTTTAAAAGTTTGAATTGTTTCCTTACCTGAGAAGAAAAGTAGAACTTTGTTCTTTTCTGTTGACTGGCCAAGCTTATAGCCAAACTGGGGTTTGTTGTGTCGTTCTTCGAATGAAGTGCTGTCAAAAATGGCGGCTCGGTTGCTCGAGGTAGGAGGTCGTCTTCCTGTATCATTCTTTTTCCTGTTTACTTGAAACGTAGAATTTGCGCAAACATTTGCTTTCAAATTTGTTTGTCATAAACGAACTTCGATTTTTAAGCCAAATTTTCTTGTTAGAAAACGCTGAGTTCACGAAACGGCTCAGTTCTTCTACGCGAATAAACGGGCCGTTGTAAACAATCCATCGAGCACAAAACTCAGCTACAGTAAATGGAAAAACGCCGTTTTGAATCCTTCCAAGTCTTTTCTTGCCTTAAAAAAGTCAACCCTAGGATTTTGTCAACTTTTAAAAGATCGTTCTCTAAAAAAATGGGAAAAACACCGAGCACACTCATTATCCACTTTTAATTTTCTTTTTTGGTTGTGGAGAGATTTTGCAAACCATCTTGCTCTAATAGTTACCGAGCTTTTTAACTCTTCACTCAGATGGCAGACAGTTCTTCTTCCATGGAAGCTTGCCAAACATAACAGCAATTCCTATAGAACCTCCGCTGTCATCGTGTACCCAGCTTCGACCGATATCCCTCACGACCGCTTCTTCGTAGAAGAGTAAACAAATGACTGCTGTACAGCATTTTAGGGAGAAAAGGCATTGCCATAAGGGCTCAGAAACATTTTGCGTTATTTAAACACTCAACTGTAAAAGTCTTTAGCAGGTTTTCTATTATGTAGTGAGTATACTGTGCCATTTCTGCGATAAAAGAGCTGCCAAGAACAATAAAAAACATTATATTTGACATCGCGTTACTGGAGGAGTGTCCGTTTGGTTTGTTAATTAGCCTTTTCTTTTGTATCCCTTGTCATTGCAGGAGCTTGGAAAAAATAATACAGCATATTTATAATCTTATTATCTTTACTGAATCTTTTATAGTTCATAATGTAAACAAGTAAAGAATTGTCGAAACTACAATGCTTCTGGGATTTTTACAAATTATTTCATAATTCAATAAAGGAAACAATTTTTTTCCCTCATACTTCGCTATTGCGGACTCTTCCTATTACGGACACAATAACACAATAACGGGAGTTGTCTGTAGTAGACCGGAGCAGACTTCTGGGTAGATAGCTTTTCAGGCAAACTAATTTAGGACCCTTAAAAAGGAAAAGAAATGAAGGAAAAAAAAAAAGAAATATTTAGATTGATGAGTAGATAAAAGGTAACGAAAATTTTAAAACAGGTATCGATAGGGTTAGGTTACATCCACTGTGCATGAATCAAGGCAATTCAACGCGAAAAAAAATTGTCTAAAAATCTTGTGTGTTCTGAAAGTACTTTCCCCCAAATCAAACAGAAAATTGATGGTACCTTATAGCTTTATATAGAGAAACCAGGTTCAACAGGTTCCTAATTACAGGATTAAAACAATTACTTCTGTATGTGAAATGTTTTATTCGGTGAGTGATTGTTCCAAATCACCGTTTTATAATTCGGCGCTCATTGAACATGGAAAAATAAGTACAAACTATTATCATGAATTGAAAAGTTTAATGTAAGTTGTTTTTCTTGTGTGGAATACATTAACGTCGATGACACCATGTGTTAGTAGGGACCTTACGATCCGACAACGGCGACGTTCAAGAAAAGGCCGCTGAAAAATAGACTTCACATCCTTTCACTTTTGTTCGCGATTATTCCAACGGAATACACAAACTGCGGTTACAAACATGAGAAATAACAAACGCATTGTATTAACTGACTTTTATGATATCGAACTTGGCGTTTCGTATGCTTCAACATACATCTTCAGAAGTGACCGTTAACAAGAGTAGCCGAACTAAACTTACATTAAAAAAAGTTAAGATAAGTAACTAATTAACGTGAAGGAAAAATTAAAAACAAATAAATGTGACAGATGAGAAAATTTGCACGAAATTATGCAAACTAGTATAAGTAAAGCTTTTCGCTGCTTACATTTTCATTTAGGGATGATAAGAAGAGTCTCCTTGATTTTACAATGGGTATCTGATTTTCCTCTTGCTAGAAAAAATGGTCCCATTTCAAATTGTGACTAGTTGAAAGCGGACGTGTTCTGCAGTAGCTGATCGATGACCGTTACTGGTGATTGCCTTGAAGTGTTCAGTTTTTCGGTCATGCAATTTCCGTTTGGTTTTGCCAATGTAGAAATCCTGACAGTCCCAACAACTAGCTTTATATACAACTTTGGACATTTGAGAACGGTTGAGCCTGTCTTTGTAGGGGAACAGAGACTTGATGCGATGTGTGTTTTGGAAAATAACCCTAAGGTCATTGCACCCATAAAATATATTTATACAAGCCTTGAGTTGTTTGGTAATAATTTTGCTTTGCAACCCTAAATAAGATAGTACTAATCCAATTTCTTTTTTTGGGTACCATGCAGGTACCATGGCTGTTGGGTAATCTTGGTTTGTTTTGTTGACGTCATTAATGACCATTAATATTGTAGTTAACAGCGCCACTGGAGCAGCCGTTTTTGGCAATAACATTTTCAGCTCCTCCAAGGAGGATCCCAACAGCAAATCGAAACAAAGGCGACGAGCAAAGGCGAAAACAACGGAAAGCGAGCGTTCGGATAAGATTAACTTTATCGGGGTGTGAAAGAATCCCATTTCGTGATGGTCTCACTAAGATTCATAAACCTGGCTGCCCTTTTCGTCCTATTGTTTTCTCTGTAAACACTTATAATTATAATCTCGCATCATACCTTGTGGATATACTTCTGCCAATTTCCGCAAATCAGTTCACAAGCAAGGCCTCTTTTAGTTTTGCGCACTTGGCCAAATCATATAACCATAACAACGAGGTGATGTGCTCATTTTACTTTAGCTCTTTGTTTACAATTGTTCCACTCGACGAGACAATACAATTTTGTCTTAATAAACAAGCTATGTTCTCCCCGATCCACCAACACTATCCCGCTCCGTCTTAAAAGTTCTGCTTGAGTTCGCTACAAAGAAGACTAAGCCATTTTTTTCGATGGTCAGTACTACAATTAAATTGATGGTGTAGCAGTGGGATCACCTTTAGGCCCTGTTATGGCAAATATCTTGATGAGCCACTTTGAGGAAAAATGGGTTCTTTAACAGCAACGCTCCGGCCCTTCTGTTTGGTTCCGATACGTCGACGACACGTTCACCTTATTTGACAGTAAGGACAAAGCAGTTTTACGCTCGCCTTTCTTTTTGGTTATGATACATCGATGACTCGTTCACCTTATTTGACAGTAAAACTGCTGTGTCCTTACTGTCAAATAAGGTGAACGTGTCATCGACGTATCGGAACCAAACAGAAGGGCGAGCGTTGCTGTTAAGAAAAAAAAAAAAATTCTACACTATCTCAATACCTGTCATGTAAATATCAGTCGAAGAGAATAACGCAATCCCATTTCTTGATATCCTCATCAAACGCTCAACTGATCATACTTTCGGCTCCAGAAAATCTTTAAATAAGAACGGCCGAGACCAGGTTTTATGAGCCTGCGAGACTGAGCAC